AGAATATCCTCTGCACACACGGTTTTCTATTCGAATAATTCGCACAGTGATGCCGAGCTAATGAAGCATCTCAAATGACACCAGCAAATTACAACTGTACTCCTCCCGCCATTATCGACACCGAGCAGGATTAGGTTTTGTTCCGGAAAATCGTTGTGGTAATGACGTAGGCACGTCGCGCGTGTCGATCGATTCCTGGAAAACATGCTGAAACTCCAAAAGCAACAGACAGACGACATTCGCGGTAGTGCAGATGAGACTATAATAATGTACATAGTCAGATTTCCAGTGCAGACGATAATTTCTCAGGTCAGTGGGTCGACTGATACGTTCAATATTATTGCTTCAAGTGTCCGATTCCTCTGCACCCGAGTTACCGCAGTGGTATTTTTATTGTCATCCGAGTACCGACTACATCATACGAATGGATATCGCGAACAGACATATGGTGCCACCGCTGAAGAGGATAATTCGAAAACCAGCGATTTTCTTTTCATTTTCACTCCCCACTTTATTCTACAGTTTGTGTTTTTATGAATAGGTAACGTTTAGTTGAGATGTGCTGATAGTAACTGGAACAATACGATATCGTACACATAAAACGTCATTTTAAACTTGCAACTTTAAAATAATCGAATTTTGACTGTTTATATATACGTAATGATGTATAGTTATTAATTCAGTAACGTGCCTCGCAGTGACCGTTCAATTACTAAATTTGCGATAAGGTCTAAACATGCCCGAACATTACCTATATAATAATAAAAATAGCAATAAATTATATCATGTAGATTTATTACGATCGATTTGGGTTTAGCGTACAACACGTGGACCATCAGACATAGCAACGAGCATAAGCCAAGTCTGCAGACGGCCTTCGATGGACAAAATAAGTTTTGCATTGAAAAATCTACAGTTCCAATAATATTATTATTATTATCATATAATATTATCCAGTGGGATTTTAGTAACTATCACTTTTTTAAGTAAGAAACCACTCACTATTTTGACACATAGTTACACCAGGCGGCCTTACCTAACCGTGCAATAATTATTTTGAGCAGGCAATGAAATGCATCTTCTCCCTTGTTGTCGAACGACCGAATGAATGATAAAACCAAAGTGCAAACTTTGACACAAGTTTTGGAATTTGAACCAGTGGCATAGAGCTGGCCATGATTGACCTAATTAAAAAACAATATGCAGTAAAACATTAAGAACTAATAAATAATATCACGTAACAAGATAAAGGAGTAATGAAAGTAAGTTATTACATCTTTAAAATGCCTACCAAACTAATAAAAAGATACCCACATCGAACTTTTAAGTCAGAGTTTATAATTCAAAAAATATTACAAGCCCTAATTTGGAAGAATGACTTATGGTTATGGTTGACATATAGACATGGTGTCATCTACTGCCTGATATGTGTATAGATTTGGAAACAATATTATTTAACTTAAAAATTAAACTGAAATAACGTTATTTTAATAGTTTCTCACAATATTACTATATTTGCAAGTGTAATCAATAATTTATTATGATTATCACATGTCGTATAATTAGTTTATCATTTTGGTTATTCAATCAGTTTACTTGATCTATTATTTTATATATCTTACTGCTTTTCAAAATAATCGGTTAGCGTAGTTATCCTTTTAGGAGTTTGCACGGTAAAACACACAGTGGGTAAACAAGTAGGTGGGTCACTGATCATAACAATGATATAGATAGGTAGGTAATATATTATACACAGTGTAATACCTATCTATCTATTATGTTATCGATTGTGAACGACATTGTTTATTTCGTACACTATGTTATTAATATTATAGTTAATAATCTAAATACACAGAATAATATAATATGAACGGCGGTGTAGACAACGTATCGAGGACAACAGACTTGCACTGTCGCGCCGTGACGTTTGAATTAATTATTAATAAATTAATTACCGTTGTAGCCGTCATCGTGGTATCGAAATCCGGCTACGACAGGTAGAAGATACCATAACCACTATGAAGACGTGAAACATTGATACAATATAATAATGTATTATTTTATCCAAACCTATTGCACGTATATTGAAAATATTAAACTCATAATATTACAAACGAAAAATAATATGATTCCGATAATCTGTATTGCAGTTGTATTCCTCATTTCAATGTGCTTGTGCTTGTGTCGGTTACATTAATATAATTGTTGTTAATTATTTCAAACAGATTTACATAATTACATTAAACTACGATTACCAATGAAAATAAATATATTATGTACATATGGTAATGGTTTAATAATAGTATTATGCGTGCAATTAAGATTTAATAAAATTCAACAATATTATGATTGGGGTTGGTTATGAACGGTATACTATTATCTATTATGTAGTTGAGTTTGTAGACGAAATGTGTTGATAATCATTATAATAATATTTAATTATTATTACGGAAAGCTAATTTCATCAAAGACTTGAGGCCCTTCACAGTAAAAAGCTGCTTTCTAGCCTTTGGAGTCGATTTTTATTCCCAGAAATGGTTTTTAATGACTTCTTTTTATTTCCTATTGATTTGCAAAATATTAACACTTTTCTTTTGATCGGATATAATGTCATCCAACCGCATGGATATATTTTTAGGCAATATTGAGCAATCCTGGATTAATATCATTATTGTTATTATTATTATTTCATATTGGTGTAGTATAATATAAATCACAAAAAATAATAGCAATACAGTTAAACATTTAAACTAAAAAAAATAATTATGCTTACACAAAAAGTTGTAATTTAATATCTACAATTCTATTAACCAGTCAAGTGCTTCCTTTTGAGTTAAATGTTACCTTATACTCCACCTTGGAACTCTTTGAATACTATGTCCTCTTTGTACACTCTTTCAAAATGTGTTTGATATGTTGATGATATTTGTTTGCTACTGCGATCATACAAGAAGTTGTGTTTCGTTTTAAATTTAATCATATATTATATGTCCTCAGAACGGAAAGGTCCGGTGTGGCCCATTTATACCTTGGCGAGCCAAAACCTGAGAGTAGCTTGTTAGGGTTTGGTATATAATATAAAATCACTATTATCCAACTTCACATGGTTCCTATTATTATTGTTATCTACAATGTATTCTTTGTATCACGTGTATTCTGCTTCGAATATAGCCCGCGGAAAAGCGATTGCATCCATGTGGCCGTGGCGAGAATAAAACTCATCGCCCATTTCGAACAAATTGTATTATTAATTTGTGTACATGGCCGCATAAAATAATTATGATTATCACGATTTTCGATTTAGTCTACAACTACTGGAATTAAGCATTAAAATCGGCGTATATAATTAAAATATTATAAAACATACAAACGATGGTTTCGCCTCGGACTGTTATATTATTATAGTTGATTCGAGTAATCTATACCTATACAATATAACGCAAACGATACTGAAACACAATGTAAATATGATATAATATTCAGCGTAGCACAGACCAAAGTTTGACCCCAGTTCTGTATTTGTGTGTGCAAGCGTATTTGCTCACGGTACACATTATTGTATATTATTATTATTATTAGTATAACGTATTTATTGGATTCGAAAATTACGCGTGGTCTCCATTTCGTTTTAATGTTTGTATACACTTAAAACTTATAATAATAATATCAATAGCATTATATACGTATTATGCTCGACACAATATTTGCAGGATACGCTCTCCGCGATGTTTTGCAAGGGCACATGCTATATCCCTTCATCCACCGACCCACACTTGAAACTCGTTTTAACGATTTCGGAGAAATTTTTGATAAATACTACTATGTATTTATGTTCATTGGGGACCAGGTAAAAAATCTTCATGTTTGAATGGATAGTACTGATACAGTTCACCACATCTTGTTGTTGTTAAGTTCTCCGAAAAAATATAAATTGTACACGTTTTTTTTTTAATCAATAAGTATAATTGCAACTAGCTAATTCAGAATTATTGAGAGCATAATTATGATATTATGACGATAAAATGAAAATTGGAATACGAGCATATTATATACTTATGAGATGTGTGTACTACAGTCCACTCTCAGTGACTCGAAGTTCACGAAGGTACAAAACAATTCTACATAACACACAAGCGTGTTTGTGATTTTAGCAGTTATATTTTTGTATAGGCATTATTACTTTGGAAATACATAATTTTAAATTTTGAATTAAAAGTAAGCACCATTATTGTTTTAGAGTTTTTAATTTAAATTTGTTGTAAAATAATGTAAAATAAAATAAACGTGTAATTACATCATATAAGTAACAATATAAAAATTGAATGAATTACATGGCACGGACACTCATAACATTAAATTTGATTAGGTGCCTACTATAGCCCTTTACAGTGGCGTATTTGACTTAATTTTATGGGGGGGGGGCGGTACTAAATTTAAGAACATTATACACTACTTAAGTACAATATTTTTTTATATATATTCGTGTATTCTTGATTACTAGTCCAGTGGGGTCCATTTTATACTTGCATAGTTGCATCTTTTACACCTTGCATATCTTAAGAAAGGTAAATAAAATACAATAAAGTTCAAATTACAGTAAAACAATATTATATTTATTAAATTATAAAATCAATATTTCTTTTTTTCATTTGTGAAAATTTATCAATAATTTTGTCAATATTTATACTTATTGATCTGTGCACATGCAATAAAGCCAATCCGCTTAATCTATTTTGCCCCATTGTAGATCTAAGCCATGTTTTTAATCTACATAAAATAAATGAGAAATTCAAATATAAGTATAGTAATGTCAATTGCATAATCTAAACTTTTTTAAAAACAAAAGATAAGATTCAACTACCATGAACTAGAAAATATCTTCAGTATATTTAATCTATGATAATTTGTACAATAGTAAATAAGTTACTTTTAAATTTATTTTAAAAATTTATTAAGAATTTTGATGGCAAATTATTTACTATTGTAAAGCTAACAAAAAATATTTTTAAAATTGCAATAGCTGAAGTAGGTATATAAACTTGATTAAATACTAACTATAATTTATACTATTCATAGGCGTAACTTTACGTTAGGGGGGCAAAACATTCCCAAAAATGTTTTATAGCAAATTTATGTTGTAGGTAAAAAAAAGTTAATACCAACTTATGCTGAAGCCCAACAAAGCCCTCCCCTTTTAGTTATGCCTATGATACTAATATACTATGCATGCAATTAGAATTAAGCATTACCTTCTGAGAGTAGAAAATGATCTTTCAGCTGAGGCTACACTAACAGGCAAGCATGCTAAAATAAAAAGCAACTTCTTTACAGTTGGATAAAGTATCTCATTACAAGTTTCCGCAGAAGTGATGACATCTAGGTTGACATGTCCTCCTAAAACAAAAACATCCTTATTTATTGATACACATCTAACAAATTAAGTTATTATTTATTAAAATACCTTCATCTTTTATTCTTATCCACTTAGATTTCCATAGGTTAATTTCAGTTTTAAGGTTCATTGCTTCCAAATCAATAAAATCCATATCTTCAAATGTATAATATTTTTTAATGACATCAACTACTTTAACAATATCATCATTGTTAGTTTTAATAATGTTTTTAGGAGTAAGTTGAGATAAAAATAAAAAAGCTTGATTTTTTTCATTATTAAATCTTTCCTTCATATCATTTAATATATTTTCTACCAGAGGAATATATACTGACACTCTGTAATACTCTTCAACTGATGAAACAGGATAGTTAGGTCTTTTAGTTTGACGACCAGTTAAACGGGGCAGTTTTTCTTCGACTTCTAAGTTCAACATAATTTCTTTTGTTTCAATATAGAGTTCATGGAAATTTTCAATAGAGTTTTTTCTTTTTTCTTCAAGATTATTAATAACATCAGTTATAATTTCTTTAGTTTGACATACATCTTGCCATTCTGCTTGTAGTAGTTTACTGATCTTAGATGTCACGCACAATACACTTGATAGACACTGCAATCCATTAATAAATTCACATGTACAAAGTGCGTATGTACAATGTACTTTATCTATAAAATTAAGCTATCAAGATGCATCAGTTATATTATTTTGGAATAACCTGATAAGAATGATAAGAAACCCGATAATAACCTCGATTAAATATTAATATTATGTCTATGCCCGCAGCCCGCACACTAGTACACTACACAGCGTTAGCGTATTTCTAATCTATTGTCACGAGTTACGATCAACGAAAATATTTCATTACGTTATTATACGATTATATACGTCGGTTTTTAATGATAAAGTTATCGATGTTTTTATTTATATGAAAGATGGACGCGTAATTTTAAATGTAGTATTTTCTCAACAATAATACTACATATATACAAACAAATAACTTGGGTAATGGGGGGGGCGATCGCCCCCATCGCCCCCCCCTCAAATACGCCACTGGCCCTTTAATCATCACTCTTCTCTATCAACTAAGGCATAAATTCAATAAAAATAATCTATTATAATTGTATTGTTGTAGTTATTCATTGTATTGAGTGAAACTTTTTCAGCCATGATATTTTTCAGTTATGTTAGACAAAAAAATTAAACAACGTCTCCGTTGTACTCCTATAGCTAGTTGTATAATGTAACATAAATCGGTCAGTTATAAATTTTTTTAGTAAAAACGGAAGAAAAATAAAGTTGAAAAATTGAACATATTGTAACTAGTCGTCACGATGGCTGCATTTTTTGTCAAGTTTAAACGAGTCATGTCATAATTAATATTATTATACTGTACGTCCGAAAATTGTGAACTTAAACCGGTGGATGTGTTTTAAATATTTTCAAAACATAGTTTTTGAAAATTATCATTGTTCTAAATACAGCATGTATTAGGAATTAAAATTGCTGCCTTCGTTGATACTCTAGCTACTACAGTTAAAGTTTTCATGTCAGCTGACAAATATATAATACTACATGGGTACAATATAAGCAGAGTAAAAATCGTATAGATGAACGGGTGGAGGATAATATCCATAAAAAAAAAAAACATTTCGAACAACGAAAAGCCAATATCGAATGAGCGTGTTAAAATTATTATTTACGCAAATTAAATTATTATTTCTACTAATATTTTACTATAAATACATGTCGTGTGTAGGCGTGACTATTGTAAAGTATTCCACTAAATAATATATTCAAATTTCATTTGTATATGAATATTTTTTTGTTATAATAATGATATGCGAACGCTATATTTACTTTGAGTACATTTTCTAGAAAATTATTCAAATACGTATTTGGAAATTAAATTTTCGCGTATTTTTTTTTTTTTAAAGGTGAAAGATGTAACTGTTCATATGTGTAATAAAACATTGAGGGAAGTAGAAAAAAAATAGGTAAATAATAATAATAATATATATTTACATTTAAATATAATAGGAGGTAAAATATATTATACAAACATAAATATATATGCTTAAAAATACATTATAAATAAATAATATTTTTGTGTTGGATTGCATTCATAAAATATAGTAATTGGGCATTTAAAATTGATTTTTTATTTTTATTTGAATAATTTTAAATATCTTTTAGAGTATTTGAATAAATATTCTGAATATATTATTTGAATAGTATATTCAAATATACTCGTATATGTGTCGATATATTAGAAATAACATTTAGAATATTTATTCAAATATAAATAGGTACATATATTTTGTTTGCGAAATATGAATAAATAACAAGTATGAATTACTCACATTACATGTAGCCTATAGGTACCTTTGTACCCGACATTTGCAAATAGAAACTATATACAGATAATATTATATACCAAACGTGGTAGAATACGTCTAATTTTAAAACCAAAATATGCACTAATACAGTTTACATCATGAAAATAATTTCACAAAGTCGTTTCGAGTAATGTACAGTCGTGACAACCCTTTCCAGTCAAGTGATTACTTTAAAAGTCGTTTATAAAAACACAATTTTTTAAATACAATAATAATTGTGAGCCTACTATAGATAGTAGATACACGTACAGCAAAATGTACAACAGTTGAAAAGTGTAACTAATAGACACCAAAATATACATTTTTTTTTTTATTTACAAAAGACAGAAAAAAATCATTTTTACCATCAATATTATTTAGGCTGATAAAAATTAATCATCAAAATCAAATTATTTCTCCATGGAATGAATCCTAATCAGGTGGAAACAAGCTATTTGCTAATAACCACTTTATCTTAGAAATCATCATTACTTCAGTTAATTTCTATCCGTAGTGTGCTCTATCAATCTATTACATAAAGATTTTTAGAAACCGCGAGTGGACATATTATTATTATTTTTACAAATCCGGATTTTTCTATACGCTCTATATGATGTACTTTCTATTAGGTGTATAGGTACATCATACAACCATTTTTTATGATTATAATATTATGTCGATTTGCGTGTTGTACGATGGGAATCCAGCTATAAAATATATATTTTTTTACTAGACCTGAAGGACCTGAAACCTACGAACCATATGACAGGCGCGAACGCCCAAACAGTTGGATGCTATGCTTTGTGTATAATATAGCGCAAGTCCGTCACGGTAGACTTTGAAATTCAAAAGAAAATTTCATTAAAAAAATAAAAATAAATAATAAACTGCAGTACCTAATATAACAAACAATATTATATTAGGTATAACGCCTGACACTGGAATCGATAATATTATTATACTGCAGCTGTTGTAAAAACTACGCGAAATTACGTTCTTGCACGCAGAGCGTTTATAAAATAATATAATAATACTTTATTTAAAGACTTATAGTACATTGTGAACGATTCTTTTTGACTCGACTGTCGTAGTAGGGACACACACATCCCGCTGATCCTGGCACCTGCTCCGCGGAAACAACACAATATCACCACAATTGTATAGACCACTATTTAGTTATACACATTTCTGGTACAAGAAAAACCAAAATTTAAATATAATTATGCATCTTAAAATCAGAAGTTAATTATGTTGTACGTACATGGACTAAGTCTACCTAAATAGCAAGTATTTAGAATAAAAACCATCGAGAAAAATGTTTGTTATTTATTTTGTTACGTTGTAAAAACTAAAAAACTAAATTATTAGGTATTAACATTCTATTTTACACTTTTATGTATTCAGATCTTTAAAGGATTTCTAATAATCACTTTATAATAATGTAGGCACGAGGGTACTATTTTCACAAACTTAAAAGACATAATACTAACACTGCAGTGGCTTGAGCAATTTAAAGACGTATTTGTTTTTCGTGTAAAAGGGCACTTCCTTTTTATCAGCCCTAGGCCATATGTCCTAGATCCGGTATTGCAAGTTGTAGCTGTTATACACCGTACTTAAGTTTTTGTATCGGTGGCCGAGGCGGAGGTGGCCAAGTAGGCGGCGATCGATCGGAATTTGCCAGAAGTGAAAACTACGCGGGCGCGAGAACGTGTGTGCAAAGACGTCTGTACCTAATGCAGGTGTAGTTGTGTATTTTTGCGCGCGTGTGTGTGTGTATGTGTGAGTGTGTGTGTATGAGTGTGTTGGTGTTTACGGATTTTCCTAGAGAGTTTCCCGCGGCGACTATTAAAAACCGTTACGCGAGCCAATTTTCGGATGCGATTGAAAAGGGACGTTTCGCAGCACACTCCCTGTTCGTCGCTTTATGTCACGCGTTTCGACGATACGTTTTATTATTATCATCATCGACTACACGCACGACAACAATATGTACCTATAGGTATCCACGCACAGGTATCATGGTATACCTGGTAATATGCCGGCGTAATAGGTGCACATAAAACGTGCAAAAAAGTTTGGTATTTTTATGTACAATATTATATCCAACCTTTTTCACGTGTAATGTATACTACGGCTGTCATATATTTTTACTGGACAATTTTTGTTTGTGAAAAAAAACATGTTTGCATAATGAGGTCGTTATTATTTTCCTGATATTGTCAGTGTTAAAAGTTAAAACACGCACATAACAGAACATTGTTTTCTGTTTTCTATTGTTTTTTGACGAAAAATGCAAGTTACACAATTTATAAAGTACCCAAACTAATTTTTTTTTGAAAAATACATTCGTTTTAGAAACACAGGCCATAACAAAAATGTTACAGTTGTTTAAAATACATTTTAAAAATAAAGACTTCTCGAAAACATTATCCAGTCCATTGGGTTAATTAAAGTAGATTTTATCATATACGACATACGTATTACTAAATATTAATAGTCTTAAACCACTTTTTATACTTTTTATAATTATGTTTTATCTTCTTAGGATATAGGCACTTATTTTTAGTGCAGTGAATGTATCATGTTCTAAAAAATAAGACATACCTGGTGATATTCACTATGGATTTTTAAAAATATTTTAAAATAAACACAAAGTTAACACATGTCTGAACTTGTCATTTTGATCAAAAAAGACACAACAGATTTTTTATATATTTACTAATTGATATGTTATATGTTTGAGGAAATAAAATGTTCTATATGATCTATATGTAGAACATTGTAGGTATTAACCTCCCTACATAATACACCCAGCTATATGTTATTACATTTTGTTTATTATTATATAATATTCATATTTTTTTTCTAAATTATATAATATTTACTTGTTGAGTCATGACAAATGGTATTTTAAAAATTAATATCAACATTTTTTCAATAGCTGACAAACAGGTATAAAAATAATATTACCTACAACCAAAAAATCCAGATATATTGAAATGTCT